TCATAGCCATAATCAACAGCAGCAACAACACTACTTTGCCTTTCCCAGTCTGCTATCACCCTCGACGCTACCCCGAAAATTCTCTAACGCCAGCAGCACCGGCACAGGAACACCCAGTCCTCACGCGGCAATGGCAGCACTGATGCTGATGCCCTCTTCACCGCTGGCCGCCTCCACTCCAGTGCTGAACTCCATTACCGGAACTTTAAACGGAGGTAGTGCACCTCACTCATCGAACATCTTCAGCTTCAACGCTGACGCTGAGGCGACCTCAAAAGAACTCATCTTCGGAAACGGCTACCACATCGAGGAGTACGTCTGGTTTGCCGGCAGCATGGACCGGGACACCGCCCAGAAGACACTCTCTCAGATGCCTCAAGGGGCCTTTCTAGTGCGCATCAGCCCAAAGCAGCGAAACAGCTACGCCATCAGCATCAAGTACAACGGCTCGGTGAAGCACATGCGCGTCTGCGTGACTGAACAGGCGGGCATTACGCCCACGACGGTGCACTCCAACTTCAGCCTCAACTCACCCAACTCAGATCACCACTACCACCACCACCGCCACCATCAGCAGCACTGGAAAGAGGCCACTACTGCTTCAACTTCGTGGCCGTACAGGACGCATTTCTACCTGTCGGAAACGCGCTACTTTCGCACCATCGTCGACCTGGTGCGCTGGTACGAGCTGAACAGTCTCAGCGAGTCCTTCAACATGGTCAACACGCGCCTGCTGATCCCCTACAGAAAGGTGAACTTCTGCACCAAGGAGATCGGCAAGGCGCTCGCCCAGCACTCCTTCACCAGCAAGAGCACCAACCTGGGCACTTTTTTGACGCTGAAGAAGGGCGACGAGATTACCGTGCACTGTCGTTCGGCGGAAGACAAGGGCTGGTGGCGGGGCTCCGTTGCTGACCGCTTTGGCTTCTTTCCCTTCACCTACGTTAGCCCCATCTCACCGGGCCTCAGTAACCCGTCCTTGATGATGACTGACGGCGAGGAGAGCATTTTGGCTGCACTTGAGGCTGCCAACAACTCAATTGCCTCGCTGCAGAGTAGCACATCAACTGCTTCAGTTCAGCAGACTTCGGTAAAGAGCCTGTACTCGGTGCCGCCGGTGTTGCTGGAAAATGGAGGCGGAAACGGTGGCCTGGCAAATACCACCGCCACCACCGCCGACTCGCTGTCCATCTCTTCGGCAATTACGGAAACTTCGAACCTTTCTCCAACTGGAGACCAGTCTTTTCTGATCGGCACTGGCGCCGGCGGCGGTAGTGCTGTCAGCGATTCACCCCCACTTCTCGAGGACCACTTGAGCAAGGATCCCCACTGTTCCCCCTCAGTGTCTCCATCCTCTTTTTCATCATCTTCTTCCTCCTCAGCATCTTCAGCCTCCTCCTCGCCGACGACGCAGTCATCACCGGTCAATTCGGTGGAAAGCGACCACTCTGACACCTCTTCACTGCACTCACGACAGCCCTCCAGCGACGCCGGCATTGAGGTGCCGCCATTTTCTGGGGCCAATCAGTCGCCGCCGCCGCCGTTGCAGCCACCGCCCACACTGCAGCCATCTCCTTCTATCACCGCTCCCTCTTCCTCTGCTCTCATTCAGCATCCACCATCTGCACTGGAACCACTACTACCACCACCACCGCCACCCATCACTTGCTTCAGCTCACTCTCTCAGTCACTGACACACCCACCGGGAACGGCGATGGCCGTTCACCAGCTCCATCAACTTCACAATCACCAGCACCACCAGGCTTCAACGGCCAGATGATGGCAACTCAACTCAACTCAACTACTAATCACAAACCCACACTTTTCTAGTCATACAACTTTTGACAACTTCAGTGGAAACCACTGGCATGATCTCAAAGACGTCTTGTAAATTCGGGTGTTCCGGTGGGGTTATGGTGAACACAGTGCGAGCAGATACTGCAGAATGCACAGATGCACGTTAATGTCAATTTGCGGCAGAGGGAATGCATCTTCAGCAGAGAATCCCACGTCAGAGAGTTCCCCTGAGAGAGAGAGAGAGAGAGAGAGAGAGAGAGAGAGAGAGAGAGAGAGAGAGAGANGAGAGAGAGAGAGAGAGAGAAAGATGAGGGAAATGTGAATCGAATTTCAAACAGCTGCAAATTGATATCCTAACTACCAAAAAATGAAAATGCTGAATTCACGATCTGAAAGAAAGCCTAAAGGCCTTTGTACTGAAATGTACTTTCTTTACACTACTCTTTTTCCACTTTTAAGCACACACACTCACGCCCACATTGTTTTGAAACACACAGCCCAATATTCAATCAGCTGATGGGCTGCACACTGATTTTTTGTTACCTAAAAAAATTAAAAAAAATTATTTTTGTTGTAAATAAAAATTGTTTTTTTACAAAACAAGGTTTTGTTTCAATCGGGCAGTTTGAGTACAGTTAGCAACGGTAATTGCGTTCCAGAAAACTGCACGTAGTCAATGGGATGCGCGCTCTGAAGCGAAAAACGACATTTTTTTCTAGTGCACGTCCGAGAGCACACATCGATCGATTGCCCAAATTGTGCTCGCACGGATACATTTGCATACATATCGAAGAGTACGACACACAGTTTTAATTGCCACCACAACTACCGCCTACCGACAAATGAACTGCCGACTGGCAATGATGCTAAAGTAGTGAAAGAAAAGTAAAAGAACTCGATTTGTGCTCGCTTTTTTAATTGGAAATGTGTCGAATAGCAGTTGAACAGCAGCAGGAAGCGGGAATAAAATTGGCAGCCTTCAGTTTCAGCAGTTCTGGTGTGCCCCCTTTTTCACATTTCATTCATGCCTGTCTGGGAATTGTACAGACAAGGTCAGCACTGAGAAACCCGGCACTGCCTTCTTCCTTTTCTTTTTCCTATTTTTTCCTGCTGCCATTTATTGGTGCAAATAATGGTGAGCTTCCAGAAGAGAAGCCTGACTTTGAGTTTTGGTGAAACACCGCCAAAAACTGGATGTCGGCAGCGGAAATGTAGGAATGCGTCAGCTGCACACACACTAGAATTGCCAGTCAATTCAATTTTCCAGCTAAAAGTAATTCTAAGAAGCATGAAAAGAGAGAAAAGATGCCAAAAAAGAAAACATTGAGACGACGGAGTGTTTTGAGAGTGAATGTTTTTTTACATTGATGTTTTGTTTGTTTGTCTTTGCTTCTTCCTCAATCTAATTTAGCTTTTTTCTAAATGGCAAAGCTCTTTCTTTTTCTCTTTTTTTTCAGTTACATTTTCTGAGCACAAACATTTAAAATGAAGATGTAGTGAATACTATCTTCGTCGATGCACTGCTAAGCCTTTGAGCAGTGACAGTTTGAGCACAATTTGTTTGTATCACTGTTTTGCTCTAAACTTTCAACGATCAACTGGAGAATTATCGATCATCATGCAAATGAGCACTAAAATAGACGGTGATTGCAGAGGCAGTCAGGCAGGCAAACAGATGAAGTGATGATCGATGGCAAAGTAATGGTCATTCATTAGGAAGTGCTGCACAATGTTTTTTTCCTTCCTCCTCCTCTCAAACTTTTTGTGTCCTTTGAGATACAATTGCTGTTTTGGCTCACACTCACACATTAACTGAAGCCGATTGAGATGACTGAACACTTCTTGTGCTCACAATCACAAAACTTTAAAGTGGAGCACACACAGTGCTTATTTAGATGATGGATGTCACTTTCACTTGAGTTCATCGCTGACATTTCCGAACAAGCTGCTCAGACGGTGGTCTAGACTTGTGTAGACTGGATTGTGTGTTTTGTTGCCTATTGATGTGCAATGCACCAATTGTTGGCCAATTAGTCAAAGCTAAAAAGATGTGAAAGGCTGAATGAGAAAAATGTCTCATATCATTCTTTGCTCTAGCTGAAAAAAATCGGTGCTCCCAATTCACAATTGGCTCCTTCCAAATATACATTGGTTGCTGGTAATTGGTAAGTCTGACTCAATGAAACACTGTTCATGTTCACACATAGTTTTATTCTTACATTTTTGTGTGCATTTTGTTAATCAAATTGTCTACTAAATTCATCAGTAGGATCCTCACTTCGGTTCTTGGCGACACAAAGTACAAAATACAACTGCTAATGAGTGCTGGAAAAATGGTAACACTACCAAATCACATTGAACCATTTCCAAAACTGCCAGGCCAGTTCATTAGTGAGCAAATTAATAATTGCTCACAATGGCTCGGCACTGTACTGCTGAATTACTGCAAATTAGCACCCTCATTTGCACACAATCAAGGCATTGACTAAAATGTTTTCCTGCGCCACATTCTCTCTGATTGATTCGGCTGGAACTGATTTACCCTACTTCCGTCATCATCGTTCATAANGCCCTCATTTGCACACAATCAAGGCATTGACTAAAATGTTTTCCTGCGCCACATTCTCTCTGGTTGATTCGGCTGGAACTGATTTACCCTACTTCCGTCATCATCGTTCATAAGTTTGTCAACAATTAACGAGAGCAAAAAGACTACTCTACGAAAAATGTGGTCTGGATTGTTCAGAATTCTAGTTGAAACTCTCTGAGTGATCATTTACTGCTGCATCGTCATAATGAATATTAGAGTGATTATAGTTTACTTCTGTTTGCACAAGACGACAAATTGTTCTCATTTCCAACCAAAGTATCTCAAACCACATTTTTGCCTGGTTTGCAGGTTTTCCCCTCTCTGTTTGTTCAGCTTTTGCTAATGCACTTTTCTGTCAATTTAGTGGTAGTAGTGCTCTAATGTACGATGAAGAGAGCTGGCTACACTAAACGACTAGATTGCAAAGAAAATATATCTTTATTGTTATTTTTGTGAGCAAATTAATCATTTTCTCGTTCAATTCTTAGAGGAAAAAAAGTTTTCTCAAAACCAACGTTTGAATTTTTAATTTGCTAAAATGGTCAAAGCAAACCTTGGTATTACCAAAAACCAAAAATAATACTCAAAAAAAGAGAATAAAACTGCCGCTTCTTCAAAAGCCAAACTTCATCTCCGCCAGCTCATCACACTCAAAGATTTCGCTGTGATTTCGACCGCCCACCTCGCGGCGCGGGTTTCGACGCCCACTGCGCAGGCCGATGATGTCGATGCTGTGGGTGGCGCTGTTCACACAGACGCAGGCCGTCGAGTTGAGCTGGCCGACGTAGGCGGAGTTGCTGAAGACGGTGAGGACCTTCTTCGCCGAGTGGGTGTTGTAGCCGGTGGCCTTCACTGTGCCGTCGTACTGGTGGGCGCGGACGATGTAGCTGAGGCCGTGGCGGCGGAGAAAGTGGCGGACAGCCTTGTGGCCGGCGATGAAGCCAATGTTGCGCACCGAGTTGGGCACAAAGTACCGCTCGATGGACGCTTCATCCTCCTCCTCAGTTCCTTGACCATTGGTTTTCAATGTTCCGTCGTTAGGCAGCCCATTCACCTCCTTGGCCGTTGCCTCCATCTGCTCCACATCACCGGCAACAAACAGCCGACGACGATCGTAGTCGGCAGTTCGAAAGTCATTCCAGAGCAGTTGAAGCGCTATGCGGTTGTAGTGCTCGTCGATCAGCCCTTTGGGAATTTCCTGATCGAGATCGGCCAGCGAGCGCAAATTTTTGGGGATGCCGCCGTGGACGACGAAGACTGCGCCGTTGATGAGGGCGGCGTAGGGCAGCTGGCAGAAAGCGGCGTTCAGCAGTCGCCAGACGTGCTGGCCCACCTGTCGGCCAAACTTGAGGCGGCACTCCTCCAGAAAGAAGGACCGATTCATCCAGGCCACCTCGTGGTTGCCTCGCAGCACAGTGAAGTGCGTCGGGTGCACCAGCTTGAGCAAAATCAGGTAGGTGGCGATTTCGAAGCCGTGAATGCCGCGGTCCACATAGTCGCCTGCAAAAGGAAAAAACGGTTTTTAAAAGAATTTGATTTGCTTACGAAAAAACCAACCCATAAAGACAAAGTGGNTAAAATCAGGTAGGTGGCGATTTCGAAGCCGTGAATGCCGCGGTCCACATAGTCGCCTGCAAATGGAAAAACGGTTTTAAAAAGAATTTGATTTGCTTACGAAAAAACCAACCCATAAAGACAAAGTGGTATTTTTGCATGGCAGTCTCATTCTTCCAGTAGAGCTCTCGCAGGTACAACAGATCGGTCAGAGAGCCGTGCAGGTCGCCGAAGCAGAGAAAGTCCACTGAGGGAGGCAAAGGCTTAGGGTCAGGACCCGGAGCAACAGCAGCAACAGCAGCAGCAGCTGCAGTTCCACTGTTCAGTCGAACTAGATTCGGCCCCGCCTTCATCGTCTCCCTGAAAAGCTCCACAATGACGGGCAGGTAGTGCTGCACTGTCTGGCGAAGGAGGCGCAGCTGGTGAACGATGTTTCCCGCCGAGTTGCTCTGCTGGGTGCTGTTGACAGAGGCGCTGCTGTTCAGCTGGTGCTGCTGGTACTGATCAAAGGTGCCCTCAAAAATGGCCAGCATTCGACCGGCTATGGCCAGGGACCGAGCGGAAGCAGCTGAGTGGTCGGCACTGCTCAAGGCGGCGGTTGTGGGAGTAGTCCCGGAAGTGCTTGATTGCTCCATCACAGGAAAGGTTGTTTTTAAGTGATTACTCCACTAGATGAATCAAATGGAGAACAAAACGGCTATAATTCGTGTACAATTAAACTTTTCTAAATTTTCAAACTGAAAGGCGTTGTTTTATTGCCAGAAGCGTTAGTTCTTTCAAGAAGTTTAGTTCGAAAAATAAAAATCTGCGTTTTATTTCAACGTATTGATAGCCTGTTTTTGTTTATCTTTACATAAAAATACATCAAATTCAAAAATACAATAAATTGAGCCAAAGTCAATAAATAATAACAAAAAACATTTTTGATTTTGTTTCCTCAGTTGAGTTTTCCATTCTTGTGCCCGTTCGCCGACACTTCTACTTCCATCGTATACACGGGCGGATAGAGTGGGGGAAGTGGAGCCTCAGGAAAGTTGCCGTTCTGTTCACTGCCATCCTTGTCATTGTGAAACTCCACTTCAGGCTTGAGTATTTCCTAGATGATAATGGACAAGAAAAAGACAACAACAAAAGTNCTTGATTTTGTTTACTCAGTTGAGTTTTCCATTCTTGTGCCCGTTCGCCGACACCTCTACTTCCATCGTGTACACGGGCGGATATAGTGGGGGAAGTGGAGCCTCAGGAAAGTTGCCGTTCTGTTCGCTGCCATCCTTGTCATTGTGAAACTCCACTTCAGGCTTGAGTATTTCCTAGATGATAATGGACAAGAAAAAGACAACAACAAAAGTCAGTTCAAAAAAGGCTGGTTACAGAAAAGTCCAACCACTCACCTTGTACGTCTTTCTGCCCTTCCAAACTTGACTGAGCTCGTAGAGCGCAAAAGCGGGTATCATGATGACGCAAGCCAGTGTCATTGCCCAGCCTTAAAACAAACACAAATAAATAAATTATAGAACTTCAATTGCCTGCTATCTTTACTTACCGATGCCATCAGCGTAGGGAGGAAACACATAGTCGTTGTACTTGGTAGGCTTGAAGTTAATTAGCACAATGATGAGGATGACGGCAATGATGGCCGGAGCGACGAACATGAACATGACCTTCCAGTAGAGTCGGGGCCAGATCATGAAGCCCATCATCCGGCGGACGTTCTCCAGGTGGCGGTCGACGCCGTACACCCAGGCGATGGCGATCACCTCGCAGAAGGCAATGCAGAAGGCCACGTAGGGAACGCTGTAGTTGTCCATCAGCTGGAGGATGTACACGCCAGCCTGCAGGAAGGGAAAAAACAGAAGATAAAAATAGTGAAACAGTGGCAATAAAACCTCTCTTTACCCCAGTGCACATGGGCAGGCCGCTGAGGAACATGACAAAGCAGACGACGGCAAGGACTATAGTCTTCCGATTCTGCAGCTTCTCCGGCCACAAGTCGGTGACGTTGGTGACCACCGTCTGGACGATGGTCATCTGCGAGCCAAAGCCAAGGGTGATCAACATCAGAAAGAAGATCACCGACCAGACGTAGGGGGCAGGCAGGCGAGAGAGGGCTGCTGGATAGGCCACAAACGCCTGTGAAAAGAAAGGTCAAAGGTTATGAGCAAATTAAAAAAAGTGCCCATTTGCACTTTTGTACTAACCAGTCCGACGCCCTGATCTGCTGCCTTGTCGATATCGACGCCCAATTGATCTGCCATAAAGCCGATAATGCTGAAAATAGCGAAACCAGCGTATACACTGGTCAGCGAGTTGCAGATAACAATGATGATTGTGTCTCTGTACATCATCAAAAAGATGTTAGAAAAGGTAAAAACAAAAAACTTAAAAAAAACCTACCTAATGGTGTTGTTGTGAAATGGATTGTAGCTGGCAAGAGTGATCACGCCACCCATGGCAATAGANCCAAGAAAAAGATGTTAGAAAAGGTAAAAACAAAAAACTTAAAAAACCTACCTAATGGTGTTGTTGTGAAATGGATTGTAGCTGGCAAGANTCATCAAAAAGATGTTAGAAAAGGTAAAAACAAAAAACTTAAAAAAAACCTACCTAATGGTGTTGTTGTGAAATGGATTGTAGCTGGCAAGAGTGATCACGCCACCCATGGCAATAGACAACGAGTAGAAGATTTGCGTGCCAGCGTCGGCCCAGACGTTGATGGCGCCCAGCTCGTCGAAACGAGGTTTAATGTAGTGGATGATGCCGCCCAGAGAGCCCTCCAGCGTGGCGCCCTTCACTATCAGCACCGTCAACATCGCATAGGGAAAGAGGGCGGTGAAGTAGGAGATCTTTCCGAGGCTCTTTGTGCCGGCGCTCAAGCCGACAAAGACAAGTACCCAGGAGATGGCCAGACAAATCACCAGGTGGACCTTCATCGAATCCATCTGGTCGATCCCTTCGCTCTTCTGCAGCACGTGATTGCTAAAAAGCAAAAAGAGTAAAATTATCATCAAAGTAAACTTTTGAATTTCCAAAACTTACTAGAAGAACTCCTGACTGGGGGACCAGGTGGTGACATTTGCCGGGGCGGTGTTGTTTGCCCCATGTTCTACGCAGTGCTCACTGTTCCAGTCATTCTGGCAGTGGCTCCAGGGGACGTCGGGTAGGTTGATGAAGGAGGCGTAGACGTAGTAGATCGACCAGGCGATGATCATGTTGTAGTAGACTCCCACGTAGGCGCACATCAGAAAGGAGGCGTAACCGATGCCGCGGAAAATGGGCGACAGGCGCCAGATCTTCATCGGCCCCAGCGAGGTAAACTGGCCGATGGTTGACTCGAAGAAGAAGAAGGTGAAGCCGAGGAAGACCAGACTGAGAATGTAGGGCACGAAGAAGGAGCCTGCGGAAAAAGAGAGATGAGATAAATGAAATTGCATCAGCACTACACTCCTCACCTCCTCCATTTTTGTAGCACAGGTAGGGAAATCTGAAATGGAGTCAAATTGAATAATTTGTAGTGTTTAATCACCAGCACAACAAAAGTTCCACTTACCGCCAGACATTGCCCAGACCTAGAGTTAAGAAAAAAAACTGTTAATGATGTGTTTTAGAAGTAAAAAAAGTTAACTTTACCGACTGCATAGCTGAGTGCCGTGAGAAAGTACTCGATTTTGTTGTTGAACCGCTCTCGAGCCATTTTTGTAAGTGATTATTTATTTGTTTGTTTGTCTTCTGGTTCAGCAAACACACCACTAGCGAGAAAGCCAACTTTGAAACCTTCTCTCAAACGATGCTGATGAAGATGATGGTGCACTGAGGCTCATGTATGGTAGAGTGAAGGAAACAGCAACCGTACAAGAATGAAATGCTCTCAAACTGTTTCTGTTGCAAAAATACTAATTTAAACACATACAAAACAGTGTGTGACCACAACTTGGGAACAAGAAGACGACTACTAAACAAGTGGTGATGCCGGTTCCAACTGGTGGTGGTGGCCACTGGCCTTGGGATCACTTGGGATCACTGGCAATTGCTGGTTAATGGCACGAGGACTCAACCACAACAATGTTTCGGAGAATGTCTGAGGATTAGTGAAATGTCATCGATTCTCTGATCACATGCAAATGTCGCCCGTCACAGTCGAGCTCCTTTTCACTCTGTCTCTCTCTCTCTCTTTCTCTCTCTCCAATGTACCTGTCCTTTGGAGTAAAAAAGCAAGTTCATCTGGCACACTGCCTTCATTTATAGCCGGGTCGTATTGTAAAACAAAGTGGTGTAAGTGTAAAGCACGGGGCAATCAAAGGGAACCAAGAAGATGCAGCGCAGATGTGACCAAGAGCTTAAAAGTGCGCAGATAAGCCAAACATGCCTGAAATCATGAGAGACAGATAAGAGCTAAGATGATGCGCAGGCGGCTGTAAATCAACCGGAAGTCTTGACCTGATGTTGACAAACATACTTGCACTGTTCAGTGCTGTTTGTGACCATCAGTTTTGCATAAGACACTACTGTCATCATTATCATTACCGAGAAATGGCATTAGCGAGAGAGGGTGAAATAGAGAGTCAGTCAAAATACAGACAAACACGTGTTGCAACTGCTGTCAGTGTAATTGCACGACAGTTCACCTAATGTACGACTGTCACAAGGTGAGCATTTAAAGGCCATCATTGGTAGGTGTAGTAGTGAATCGCTGACGGTAATGAATCGGTGAGATCATAAAGATGCAAACAATGCTGCTGCTGTTGCCGTCTGAGTATCTAGACATTCTGCAAGCATCTTTCTTTTATGAAGACCAGCGTCCATGAGGCATTGCCAAGTTTTACAATGATGACCAGAGAGCAGTGTCGTAAAAATTGTTACCGCTTTTTATTGACATTAGTAGCGGTGTATGTCTGTGTCTTGCAATTAGTATTCAATTGCATTGACTGCGCCCCGCCATTCTCGATGATCTGGAGAGAAGGTACGTCTGTGCCTGTCGGACTGGACTAATTAACAACAGCGATATTATTA